GTATCTAATTCAATTTAATATGAATAAAACGTGAGTTAATTCATTTCTTTTCTAGATTCAATGAGAAAGAACTATCTCTAACTCTTTTAAATAGAGAGATTAAACTCAGTGTAAATGTCAAATAATTAGAAGTATGATTAAACTCTAAGTTGAATTTTAAATATCACATTCAACAAAGAACTGTCAAGGCAGAAAGACTATTGAACAACATAATCAGACTATTAAATACAGAGAGAGGTCTATTCTTCCAGACTATGAGACAGTTATATATAGCCTGTATTACATCAGTAGCTGATTATGAAGTTCAAGTTTGATGAAATAATCAAGAGAATTTCACTGAACTCTTTCAAAGTCTGTAAAACAGAGTCTTGAGAAGAATTCTGAGAGCATTCAAATCATCTTCTATTAAAGTAATGAAAATTGAAGCTTCAATTCCTTCTCCTGCTATTAGATTTGAAAAGGCCTGTATGAACTATGCTCTGAGAGTTGTAAAGATGAGCTTAAATCATATAATCAGAGAAAGAGTCTCTTCTTTATTTTCATCAATTAACTCTGGAAATGAACTGGATTGAAATAGATTTCTTGATTAAAATGAAAATAATTCTTCAAAGAAAATGTCTTCTCAACTGTACAGACTATGCTCTCTGATTAAAAATCAATTTTCTTCTTTAAATGTTGAAAAAGTTGATCATGAGAAGTTATCACTCTGAAGAGAAAAGCTTGAATCTCTTATAGACTTATAAAAAAGTGAACTATCAAAAGAGAAAGAATATGAACAGCATTTGAAGAGAATTTCTACAATCAATATAAAAGACTCTATTCTGATTTATTCAGATGACTCAAAGAATGAGAACTTGAATAGATTAGACACAGGCATTGCCTATACTGAAGATAATATCAATTTTATCTCAGATTTCTGAAATCTAGGCTGTGAATGTGAAGTCTTTGATGCTGAACTATTTGTAATAGTGAAAGCTTTCAAACTCATTGAAATAAAATCTTATAAAAGAGGAAATTATTTGAAAGAGACATGAATATTCTCTGATAGTCAAGCTGCTTTAAAAAGACTTAGAAATAGTCAGATTCATAATGATCAAATGAATCTTGAACTGATCTTAAACTCTGTTTTGAAAATTCAAAAGAGCAGAACATTAAAGCTGATAATTCATCTACACTGAGTTCCTGCTCATATGAATATTCATGGCAATGAATTGGCTGATTCAGCTGCAAAAAAGGGTGCAGAATTAAGCAGATCTATTCAAAAAATAGTGTCCTGGTCTTTTATAAAGAGAAAAATAAAAGAATCTTGTTTAGACAAGTGAAATGAAAGCTGGCAGAATCACAAGAAGAGTATACATTATTCAAGATTTGAAACAAAACCCAAGTGAAAATCTTGTTCAATTAAATGTAAAAAGAAAATATTCTCATCTATAATACAGCTGAAACTAGAACATGGCTATTTCAAATCTTATCTACAAAGATTTGATGATAGATTTGACTCAATAGAATGCTCATTCTGCAATATAAATGAGAATTCTGAGCATATTGTAATGCACTGTGCATTATACAATAGTCTCAGAGCCAGATTGAAAGAGAAGTATGATTTAAATCAATTAAATATGAGATTCTTATTCTCAACTGAGACAGGAATTAAATACTTAATAGACTTTCTATCAGAAACTCAAGCAGCTACAAGAAAATGGCTAAATTCAGAATTATCTGAATATGAAGAGAAGGAAATCAATCAGATATAGTCTGTTAAAACAGCTATACACTCTCTTTTAATAATTTGTTTTATTATAGTCTCTCTTTACTTTATCTTTTTCTTTATCTTTTCCTTTCAATTTCTTTCTATACTATCTATTTAATGTGTCTATCTTTGAGACTGTGTTCTTTTTCTCTTTTCCTTTGTCATGATATTGTCAAATGATTTCAAAGTATTAAAAGATGTTAAAACACTGCAATTTGTAAACAGTTTTTGTATTCTGAGCTAGAATTTTCTGATTTTGCATATCTGAAATTGATGAATGTATAATAGTTAACTTTACAGACATAGGAAAAACCCTGAGAACTAAAAGTTCTCAGATAGATGTCATAGTCTCTGACTGCATACATCTATAATTGAAGAATAATAATAATAATAATAACTGAATTCACATGTAATAATGCAAAGAATGCAATTTTAAAGATATCTTCTTTCTAACCTTATTATGAATATAATCCTTCATTACTCAGTGATGTCGCGGATGACATTTCAAAGAGAGAAATAGACAGTCAGAATATTAAACAGATACAGAGAATGAAGTATCTCTCAGTATCAGAAGTAAAAGTGAGATTGAAACTTTTAAACAAAATTTATAAGAAGACAGTGAAAAGCATCTACTATGTTCAGAAGCAGTAGATGAAATACTATAATTGAAAACATCTTTCAATGAAGTTCTTGATAGAGAATCAAGTACTACTTTCAGCAAAGAATATCAAGATAATAAGACTGTGTAAGAAGCTCAGTGAGTGATAACTAGAACCTTTCTCAGTAATAAGAGTGATGAGTAAGCAGATATATGAGTTAAAATTATTCACAGAATTGAAATCAATTCATTCTATTTTTTATATTTTCTATTTGAAGCTTTATAAGTAATACTCTGAGACAGAGTTATCTCAGTTGAATAATATTAAGATTGAGAGTGATACTGAATATCTTATAAAGAAAATATTGAATAAGTAAATATATTATAACAAGCTTCAATATCTTATTAAATAAGAAAATTATTCATTATCAGTGAATTTATGAAAACTGCTTAAATATTTGAAAAATACTGAGAAAGAGATTATAAGCTATGAGATAACTAGTAGAGACTGCTCTGTTACACATCAGAGATGTTAAATAAGAAATACTGCTTAATACTTCTCATTTTTTTTAAAGAGTTTTTTAGAGATAATCTTATAGTAATGAGCTGATATTTTATAAGCTCTGTAGCACTCTTCTTCTATTTTCTCTTAAAGAATTTTTTAAAAGTTTAATAAGACTATATAAGTATAAAATTCCTGAAGCAGTTAGAGAAAAGAGATATTGAAAATTAATAAAAAGATTAATATTATTAATTCACAGACTGCTGCTATTCTAATAGAGCTGCAGTCTGCTGAAAAAGTAAAAAAAGAGATCAGAGTCTACTCATCTATAATCACATTCTCATCAAACTCATTCTTTACTGTTAAAGTCTCTGATATTAATATCTTTATCTACTGAGAAGTTAGTACTGCAGCACTGCAGAAGAGTATAAGAAATGCATAAAAATGTTAACTTATTAACTTATTAAGTATCTCAGTCATCTACTTCAATTGAAGTAAGATTCTCTCTAATTAGTAATTGATCTTTATAGTGCTTTTAATAGCAGCATCAGCTGATCTCTTCTTGAGATTAGTCATTCTGAGATGTTTTTTCATCTCAGAGACTCATACTTTCATCTCCTTTTATAGATGAGCAAGAAGGATCTTCTCAGTCTTGATAGAATTCATCAATGCTTGAAGCTCTGAGACTCTGACTCTGTACTGCTTGAGTATCTAGGCTTCTTGTCAGAGCTGATATGATGTCTTTCTGTGAGATAATACTTACAGAGAGACAGAAGTCATTGTTACAGATGTAATGAAAACAATGAGAGTGAGAGAAGAAGCAGGTGTATAAAATCCCTCTCTTCTTCAGCTGCTTGATGCAGTGCAGACAAGTAGCAGTGCTGGCCAGAGCTGCACTGAAGCCTTCTCACAGAGAGAGACAAAGGAACTGTGAGATCCTGCAGACTCAACCCAGCCTGCAGACTCAACCCAGCAGGGCGTGCCGCGGGAAGGGGAACGTGCCGCGGGAGGGGAACTACAGATTGGGCTCCTCAGAGCCACTGTCCTCAGAATCAAGCTCTCCCCGGGTTCCTCTCTGAATGACCACACAGGGTCATATACCACTGTATTGACTGGGGGGGGGGTGGCGTTGCAACAGCGGCGGGGGGGGCAGGGGATGGACTGGGCGCAGACGCACCGGCCGGCAGAAGAGATGACACCTCACTGCAAGGCACAGCAACTACCACCACAGCTGCAAGAGAAGCAGGAGGAGGTGTGACAATGAGAGCAGTGCTCCCGCGGTCCATCGATGCCGCCGCCTCTGTCTTCAACCTGGCTTTCTTGGCGGTCACAGAGGCCGCAGCTGCACCATGAAGACATTTGTTACTCACTAGAAAATGTCAGAATAAGCCCTTTATTATCCTTTAAGAATGATACTCTCATACACTCACTGTTGCAATTGAGAAAGAGAAAAGAAAAATGTTTCACAGAGAGAAGAAATCTTTTCAAAAAATCCTGTCACTACTGTTAGCTTTGTCTCTAAAAACACACCACTTTTACAGAGAATTTTATATATAGAACAGAATATATTGAGAGATCTATAAGTCACTTATTAACTACATTTTTCACATTTTAAATTAATATATAAGAAACTCACTTATCATATATTTGATTTGAATGAAGATGAGAAAAGAAAGATCTACACAGTCAGCAGAAAAAGTCATCTATTTCTTTATATTATACACAGTATACACACTGTCAATTGATTAGTAATCATTACTATACAACAAAGATAATTTCTAATTCAGAAATCTTAAGAGTATTGAAATTATACTCTTAAAGAGAAGAGTATTATCACACTCTTAGCAGTGTTAAGATCTTACTGTGATTTCACACAGCTCATCACTTTCATACAGATGATTTTATCTCATTTGAACCAGTTATTAATCACTTTATAATATTATTCAGATATATTATAGAAAGATCTGATTGATAAATATAAGAATCTCACTTCTATATAAGATCAGCAGATTACTCTTTCTTAATAATAAGGCATCACTAAGGTATCACTTCAGCTATTCTCACTTGTGAAATGAGAGAAGAGTATTCACTTATTATCTATATAGAATAGCTAGATACTGACTTCTTATTAAAGAAGCAGTGATTCATTTTTCTTTTACTGAAATATATACAAGAGTTACTGCATACCTTATACAATCTTCTTAGTATACTAAGTATCACATCTGTGATATTCTTACAATAACTCTGTAGTCTACAAGCTCACTATTCAAGTAAGATAGTTAAGCTCATTTATACAGCTTTTCAAACAACTACTTCTATATGACACCACTAACTAGTCACTGCTTCGGTTTCATTACATTACAGATATAGATTAATCTGACTAAGAGAAAGCAGTGAGAATTCTTTTCTGAAAAGATAGTTAAGAGAGATTTTAAGATAATTATTATCTCAGATAAGAAGAAGAAGAAGAAGAAGAAGAATAAGAAGTAAAGTATAAAGAATAATAAGAAGAATAAGAAAAAGAAGAAAGATAATAAGTAGAAAAAGTTTTTTTCTTTTTATATTAGTTAGTTATAAGTTCATAATTATTAATAGTTGAAATTGATTTTAAGTTTTCAAAAATTATTATACAAGTTGTAATCAAGTCAGGAATAATATATATATATATATATATTTAACTATCATAATTCATAAATCACTATAATATATAAGTATTAACATTTTTTCAACATTGATATTCATAATATTAATATATTTTTAATAATATTATCTGATAATATAATTTAATAATCCTCTCTTTCATAATATTAATGTATTTCAAGAAATATGACAGAGATTAATTAAGATTGTTTATTTACTTTTATACATTAATAATATTCAATCTGAGTTAGTACTAAAATTATAACTAAGCTAATAAATAAGATTATTTTCTTTTATATTAATTCTTCTTATACATATCAGTGGTCAGTTATTAAAAATAAATTATTTTCTTTTTTAAATTATTATTATATCTTCTGAATTCACTTCTTTTACTTCTTTTACTTCTATTGAAGATTTATAAACTCTTCAAGAAATCACTATAAATTACAAAGTCTATATTATTTACAATTCAATACAGAATGCTCTCTTTTAATTATAATGAATAATCACTTCATTCTTCATATCTGATTTCAGGTCATGAAATTTATGAAAAACTCAACACAAACACTGAGATAAACTATGAAATAATTATTAACAGATTGTATTATATATTACTGAAGAGTTATCTCTTTACTACAATCACTATAACTTCATTCAGAAACATTTATTATAGACTGATTATAACTCTGAAGAAATTTTCTGATATCTGAAGTTATCAGAATACAGATAATAAAAGAAAAATAATCAGAAAATTACTACTGAGTTGATAAGTTACTCTATCAGATAATAATTTTTAATAACACTAATTTTTTAATTTAAAGAAAATCATGTGAAAACAATCATGTATTAGTACTCTTATTTCATAACTCTTATCTGATAACTTCTGTGAATAATTACTTTATATATATATGTCTCTGAATCTTTCTCTTCAATCAATTGAAAACTCTGAATTTCAAACACTTCTTTAAATACTTAATTCAAATCTTCATATTTCACATCAATTCTGTCTTCAGTTCAATCTCAAGATACACTACAAAGTCAATATATAATATCTAGAATCAGAGTTGAAGAATCATTGAAGAGTATCTCTCACAGTGAATATATAAACTAGTATAAACAATCTTACATTTATAAGAGTTACATGTTATTACATTGATAAGAACTGAACTTATTAAGAGACATTAATTGAATTTAAATCATTAATCAGTAGTTATACTGAGAATTATATAACATAGATGTTAATAACTGTGATTAAAAATAATTATTAAGATATTAGTCTCAGTCTTCTTATAATTATAACTGATAATACTGTGAATAACTACATTATAGTGAAGAGCTTAGAGTAAAAATTGACTTTGCATTTCTGAAATAATAAACAAGATTATATTTTCTACATTACTTATATAATTTAACTTGTAATACAAACACTGATAAAGAATCTTAATATTGAGATAAAGAATAATAAGATAACTGATTCTTGAAATCAGAATAAGATAAAAGTGATTACTCAAGTAACTTTTATATTCACTTTATAAAAGATAATATTTTTTAATAACACTTTTTAATATTACTTTTTAATAACACTTTTTAATAATACTACTATTAATTTTGAATAGATTGACTAATAATTTAAATATCACAGATTTGAAACATTGCTAATGTGATTTATATCTTCTCTAAATAATAATAACACTTTCATAATATTTAATAAATAAATAAATCAGTCACATCACTGAATATAACACAGAATATTAGAATATAATGAAGTTCAATATATAAGATAACTGTTCAGACTCTTTGATTATATCAGATAATTAATTGTTGAGTGTAACACTCTGATTGAGAAAAGATTCAGATATTGAAACTTTCTAATATAAAGTGAACTTAGTTGAAATATATAATTAATTTACTGTTTCAGTTTTATAAGACAATGAAGACAGTCTTAATCACTTATATATTAATACTGCAGTCAGTCTGATAAGTGTATAACAGTTTATTTACTCATCTTAAGAAGCAGTTGAATCACTTAAAAAGAAATTCAGTCTGAAATGATACTATAGTGCAGGCTAGTATTACTATAAGAAACAAACTAGTATATTATTACAGCAAAACTGAACAATCTTTTACAGAGTACTATACTGTAGAAGCTCTACTAGATTTCTTCTATTAAGTTAATATCTACACTTCTCAAGATTGAATAGAGAAGAAATGAGACTTATATATTAAATTAGTCTGAGACTACTACAATGTCAACTATCAGAGATTTGAATAAGCAGATATTCAAGATATGAAGACAGTGAAATACAATTTCCTAGTAAGTAATGATCTTTGATAATACTTCATATCACATAGAACTATAATACTAACTTTGAAATAGAACTTATATACATTGATTACAACTGAAAATCAGGCAAAACTACATACTTATAAAACTGAATTTGACTGCTATCTTCAAGATAATCTGATGAATCTATACACTAAATCAATTCTAAAGTTATGAAAAATTGTTAAGTGTATATATTCAACTGTTGTACTGATGATATATAATATTCTGATAATTTCATTGACAGAGATGAGAATGAAGTAAAAGTTCAACTCAAGTTAAGATATTTATCACTATCACTGAGAACAATTACAAGAAGAAATAATTAAGAAACTCATAATTATCAACTATGAAATTATCAGACAGTTTAATATCTCTGATCACAGTATATCAGAGAAGTGTAGTTTTTATAAGAAAGTAAAGAATAAACTTACACAAGAATGTATTTAGTTGTTTTATAAGTGTTATCAATAATTATTATCAAATTCTGATTATATAAGCAATCACTGAATAAACTGAATGAGACTGATTTTAATCTTCAGTCTCAGTTCTATTCTGATTTTGAAAGAATGATCATCTTTCATAGTTTATTCTGTGAAATTACTCTTATTTCACTGTTCTTGAATTAAATCTGGTTATTTTTCACATCATTTCTCTCAGAAATGATCTATTTTCAGATTTTGTTGAGGCTTGGTCCTGGTGGGACTCACATCAAGAAATGTATGAAACCAGATTAAATGAGATCAAATGTGAAATTCATGGTCACGCCGGCCAGTCTATTCATGATATTATTGAGAGAGTTTCATATAAGTATCTGTTATTATAATACAGAATAACTTTTCTAGAGTCTTTTTAATATTGACCAGACTGACAGAATAGATTGACACATGATTCTACTATCAGCAATCTTGTCAGCAACTCTGTCAGCAGTTTTAATAATAACTTCTTTTTCAGAGTATTTCATAAGTATTGACAGAGATCTGTGTAAGATTTATAGTCTTGTGAATATCATCTTCATGAATTCTATCATTGTTAGAGAATATCAAGCTTCTATTTCAAGTATTTAATAAGATACCTTGTTCAGATAGTCAGACAAGTTCTAATATAAGATTATAATTGAGATTATTAACTTCATATGTGTAGACATCTTCATATTAATGTTCTCTCACATCTATGTTTAGTTTCATCATGTAACAGATACAAACATTCTTTGAATTGTCAAATTCTGCAAGACATCAGGATTTTAATAAGAGAATACACTGAAGATTATAATATTTTATGACTGAAGATTTTATCATTGCATAGTGACATAGACTGCTGTCTATCATGGCTTTCATATTATATATATTATCAATCACAGTAGATATAAGAATTACATTCATTGCTATTT